ATTGGTAATGTATAACGCAATTTTTGTGCTAACAGAAAGTTGTATTGTATATGTAAATGATTGATCAATTTATTATTTAAAAAATTAATTCGTTTAAAGGTTGGGCAAAACAGATTCCAGGATTCAGCAGTTTAGCTTTAAACGATCAAATGCGGCTTCTGCAAAGTACGTGGGCTGAGATATTGACATTTAGTCTCGCGTGGAGAAGCATGCCAAATAATGGTAGATTAAGGTTTGCACAAGATTTTACTCTAGATGAACGACTTGCCCGCGAATGTCATTGTACAGAGTTATACACGCATGTGAGTATCGTTCGAAACGATTTGATTCATCTTGTGTATCTTGTTAACTTTAATATTTGTTAATTTTTATTTATATATATATATATATATTTGCATATATGTATAATTTTTTTACACAGTGTATCCAAATAGTAGAAAGGCTTCAAAGATTGGGATTAACCAGAGAAGAATATTATGTGTTGAAGGCATTGATATTAGCAAACAGTGACGCAAGATCAGACGAGCCACAGGCATTATACCGCTTTCGAGATTCTATCTTAAATTCATTATCGGACTGTATGGCCGCAGTAAGACCAGGACAAGCGCTTCGTGCCACTCAAAACATGTTCCTAGTGTTACCCAGTCTCAGGCAGGTTGATGGAATTGTTAGACGATTTTGGTCTAGTGTGTATCGAACGGGAAAAGTACCAATGAATAAGCTCTTTGTAGAAATGTTAGAAGCTGCTTATTATCGATGAAATATCAACTCGAACTCGATTTATTAATATCTATAATGATATTGAGGACTTCATAGAATCGCTGTTATTAAATAACACTCGCACATTAAGAATGACTTAAAGGCACGCATTTTGTTGTGTTCCTAAGATATAAGCAGAAGACAGTGAGTGATAGTGAAATGCGAAAAGAAGAAACGGAGACTGTACAGTTTTATTCATTTTCTGTAAGAGAAAGACTTATATATATAAAAAAAAAGAAAAGGCTTTATTTTTCAAACGCAAGAGTGTTGGAGCGTGGAGCGTTGGCCAGTGATTCCAGCAGTCGTTGAAACACTTTACGAAACACCTTAAGATGGCAGGCACATTGTTTCGTCGAAATAACCAAACTTTCCTTTTCGAGTACCCCATTTACAGGTACAAAGAAAATTACGATGTTATTTCAAGATAGGATACGTAGTACAAGATGCGAGATGCTTTTTCTGGAGCTCTCATTTTAGGATAGTTTACGAAAACCTGTCGCCAGACAGAAGAACCTACCAAATAAAATAAAATGTTTTCATTTACGTAAGATCGTAACACCGAACCGGTGAGATCGTAGAAATCAAATGCAAATGTACTAACTGTGGGTGTTTGACGTTATAGGATTAGAGCATCGTGTTACCAAATACTACCAGTTCAATCAAAATTATACGTAGCTCCGATTCGAACGTTATTTTAGTTATGTCTTTTCTCTAGAAAAAAAAAAAAAAAAAAAAAAAATAATCCAGTCAATTTGAAACTAGAGGAACGCGGACTCTATATTTTTAAGAGTGTTGATAAAAAGTTAATATCATTTTACATAGAATAACTGCACATTTTAATACTATTAAATGTAAAGATCGATAAATGTAAATCGATGTGTGTACCGCATTGAACATCCATAGTTATAGTTCAGCAAATGAATTTAATATGTGCTGTTGTACAAATCGAACCAATTACGTGAACAGAGCTGTGAACAGTGAACAAGGAAAAGCAAAAGAATGGCTGGATCGTTCTCTAATTAGCGCCATGCTGTTTTCTACGAGATATTGTAAGAAAAAAAAAAAAAAAAAAAAAAAAAAAATGTTTCGAGAACGAACCTTTGGCCAGGTTGCCAGGTTCTTAGGAAGAGCAGAAAAAAATTTAATCGATTGTTGAAATGATTGCGAAATGTTATTCGCGCGTGCCACACGAAGAGCGTAGGAGAATATATATTATATTATATTATTATATTATATTATATTATATGTATTCAGGGATCTTTATTATCTAGTTATTATTGTTACGAGATCTGTGCATAGATCTTGCGCATAATATTCGCTTTTTTCGAAGCGAAGAATCGTAAAATATCGTATAGGAGCTACTACTCACATAAAAGGTTCATTTTTAAAGGAGGGAAAACCGTTTAACAACAAATTAATGGAGTTTTTTTTTTTTTTTGTCGATTACACGCAACGAAAGGCAAGGTTTCTATCGATTTTTGGATCAGCTTTTTTTGTTATTTCGCGATCACTCGATATTAACGATATCAATCGAAAGAAAGAAATTGTTTTATTCGAAGTTATATATAAATAAATATTAGATTTCGTTAAGCGGATCGAGTCGCTCGAAACCTTGTCGATTTTAAAATGCGGTGTAATCATGTGACGTAATCAGAGTGCAATAATATCAGGACATGCGATTACATTTTTCTTTTGGTCAATTGATCGCGACGTCCTTTTAAGTTTCCTTTATTTGTATATTTCGTCTTCGTTCTTCTAATCTCGTTTGAATCCTTGTTTAAAACCTCCTGCATTTAAATACACGATGCAAATAGTTGATAGACGCTTACGTATTGCGTGTCCTTTCTCCATTAGTTTTTTTTCTCGATTATCCACGACGGTTCATTCCTCATTATGAAATAGATAATGCAACGAATGCGATGAGGAAAAAGAAAGAAGAAAATCTTCGCTGTTGAGCCACGGCGAATTTTTGTTCCATATATCTTTTCGGTCTTTTTTTGTTTCATTTTCTTTCTTTTTTTTCAATGATATGATTTCTTTTTTTTCTCCTTTTTCCTTTTTTTTTTTTTTTTTTTTTTCCATTGCTATTTTTCTTTTCCATCTACGAATTGCAATAAAAGAAATCATGTTATTTGCTACACTGCCTTTCAGGTTGTAAATTTTGGAAGAAAATCAAATGTTAATTTATTAGTAAACGATGTTGATCGAATATCATTCTGAAATGTGTTAGAAATGATTTGTCGAAACGTTTGTTTTAGTTTAATGCGAATATTTAAATCAGGGAGCCAATAATCAATATTTCGATGGCGTTTGTCACCTGTTGATAGTATTCCGTTTTTTTTTTTTTTTCTTCTTCAAGAAAAAAAGTTGTTCAATATCAATATTCAGTTATCAGACGATAATACTACTTTGTACCGTCCATAATAGAAGGTGTTACAATCGTATATATTAATAGAAACGATTAGGCTCGATAGTTTAAACATTTCAAATTTATTCCTGTCAAATCTGTCAACATATTTTTGTTTAATTATTATACCCGTTGGATATTTTGGAAACTGTGTTTGGAACTGTGTTGATTGTTTAACTCAACTCCATATATATTTTTACATTTTTAATAGAAAATGTAAGATTTTCACGTGCTATCAATTTGTGATCTACATTTTTTTTTTATCCGTCTCTGCAGAGAGAGAGAGAGAGAGAGAGAGAGAGAGGAGGAGAGAGAGAGAGAGAGAGAATAATTA